GTTCATCACAACATCTATGCACGGTTACTAAACTAGTAACCGTGATCTATGAAAACCAGAAAATTTTTAGTAGTCCGAATTGTTGCACGGTCGAAAATAAAACGGAAATTGACCGGTCAAAAGCGGAAGCGGTCAAGAGGTTTGGGGGAAATGAGTAGAGTACTTCTTTGTTTGATGAAGCGATGCTGATGCCACATTGTCGCCATAATGAGGCCACAATGAAGCGAAGCGATAACCGCCTAACTTTTTAATGTCGCGACATTGAAGCGATGCTGAAGCCATAACAATGCCATAATGATGCGATGCTGAAGCGAAGGTGAAGCTGAAGTGAAGCCAAAGCTTCCGCGAGAACTGTACTGTATGTTGTAAAATATGACTAGAAAGCAACACATCAAATGGTCAAGTTCAATTCATTGCCTGCTACATGTATATGAATTTTTTTGACTGGTTGGTGAGACTCCAAATTCATTTTTTTGTTGGATTGTTCTCTGCATATTGACCCATGGTCTACTTTTCCCGATTAGGTGGTTGTTAGGCGTCTTTATGTATATGCTCATTATATGTTCATTTCTCAAAAGGACCATATGCTACATGTACTACTGTAGAATACTTTATTTTTGCTTGGAATTTATTTTCGTTATTTTCTCTGAAGGGATGATTCAGTGTAAATAAAATCCAGTGAATACACTTTTTTTCCTATATTTCACATTAAACTCGTCAAAAATCAGTGAAAATAAATTCCATACAAAATGCCCAAAAAGCCTTTTCAGCGAAAATTTATTCCAGCGAAAATAAAGTATTCCACAGTATGCATACAACACGACACAAAACCGGAACAGGAAACAGGGCCTGTAAACCTCAATAACTATAAACCCAGTACTAAAGCAGGTGTTTGTCTCCATGATAGTCAAAAATGCCAAGATAAATCGGCATCATTTTCTGGTTACCAGTTTGTTTTTTTACTTTTATTTGACTTTTACTTATTGTCATACATACATTTACAAGTTTACCCAGTATGTTTAAAAATTTGACCGTCTTGTTACTTTTTTCCTGTATTTTTAGTGTTTGTTTTTTAGGTCTTCAGACTTTATTCCTTTAGTGTGCTTTTCATCAAAACCCCAAATATGAAGTACAATAGCAATAAAGATCCTCTTCTATTCTATTAGTTGAAGGAAATCATGATTTCACAGGAGCTTTTCCTGGGGCTGTTTTCTTCAGTGATATTTTCAAGGAAATAATCCATTTTGTTTAGAAGCATACGTATATTTTTAAAGACACAACATTGTTGCCATGGATAAATTTTGTCTGACATTGTTGATGTAGAATGGGCTTCTGCAAGTCAAAAATGAACAAACAAATGTCAGTTTATTTGGGAGAATCATAACAATATGAAATTTCAGAATTTTGAATAATCTAAAGTGACAGCTGAGTTAATCTTCAGTGGAAGTGTTAATCATTCATTGTGGCAACATACACTACGTTCATGTTACGCGATCTCGGCATGTGCCTAAATTTGTAATCCTTCATGTTTGGAGAAGGATTACAACAGTTGTATTTATGTGCCGAGATCTCTAACATGACATGAACTCCACTATATTCTACTGGGACACCTAATACACCATGATATCAACATATTTACATGTATGTCCATAAACGTGTGCTTTTTGCTTTGTCCCTGTAAGTAGTGAGAATTGGATGAACTTGCTATGCGAAACTCACCCGATGCTATTCTGGAAGTGTTTGATGTGATTTATACCAGAAATGCCCATTCTATAGGCTAGTATATATACATGTTTACATATTGCATGTATCACAATTTTAGCACCAATCTATTATTTGTGGCAAGCAATCAAGTAAAAGGTCATCGAATGGTTTTTAATAATGGGTAATATTTTGCAATTTACAAAAAATATTAAAACAATACATTTTAATATATCTGTTTTTTTTTATCCCCAGACAGGTACTTGTAATTGCACCTCTGTGTAATTGCACCTGTATCTCAGACCTGCTTAAACTAATCTTTTTCAAACTCCACACAAACATTATACAAAAATTATCAGGGATTGCGTTAACCCCATATTTTGCTTCCCGGACTCCAATTATTGAAGAGGGACCCAGTTTTTCAGGCAAGCTGGGGTCCAATCTCTAAAAGATATCCAGGGTCAAATTTCAATTTCTTAAAATTTTCTAAGTGAGACTTGTCTTGCCGAGACACTAGCGCAAGCCCTGTACATGCATGTATGTATGTATAGATTTGTTTTGTTATACAATTCCAATGGCCGAAGGACATCCATTTTAGTGCTTAGAAATTCCTTAAAATCAAGCGTTTATGCCATTCAAGAACCAGCTGTCAGTCATATATTTGCAGATTTTGTTTAAACTTGCTACATACAAGTACATTATGTGACCTAGAGGCTAGATGCACATCACTTTTGAAGATTGTTTTTAAACTGGTCAAGTGATGGCCATTTGGTTTTAATGAAAGTCGTTCTAGAGCCGTTCTCTGCCATGTCTTGACTGATCACATTCTTAATTAACACATTGTGCATCTTGGGGATATGCATGTACTACATTTATTTTGTGATTTGATTCAGGAAGGCCAAAAGGCAGCCATTTTAGTTCCAAAATGTATCAAAATCAAGCATTTTTCAAAAACCAGATCTTGGTCACATAAAGACAGATTTTCTTTGAACTTGGTGTGCATACATTGAACATAATGAGAACTTGTTCTTTTAAATTTGATTAAAAATGGTCAAATGACAAAAATTCTGTATTAACAAGAAATGTATCTGTCATGCTTTGAGTGATTGTACCGGTAATCAAACTTAACTCAAACTGTATTTTATGTCATGTTTTTTAGTATGCCTTTGTTGGCTAACTCATTATAGTGGTGTTTATAATTGAACAAAAGGGACTCTGTTATGTTATGACATGCATTGTTTAGATGGGATTCAAAATCAAACATTTCTGACATTTCCAAATGTACTTTACTTTAATGTAATTTTTAGTTAAAAGTAATATTTTCGACTAATTTCATATTATACATCTAAGTACTACAGGTAGTCATCTCTCAGATTTGTTCGTTTTGTGATAATATCTTCAATTCTTGAATTTTGATGAATATTTGTGTCATTTAATTCTCAACATTTGTTTTTCTTCCAGGTATTGAGAACAGGACATGAGAATGGTATGTTGCATTATCTTATCACCTGAATCTGTATCTCTGACTGAACATGGAAGGTACTAACCGAAGGAGCCACGACGCCTCTCAAGTGGCCACTTAAGCTTCTTAACAGGCTTATTTTCTTTTGTTTCAACCCAAGTTAATCCTGATGAGGACATTGTCTAGCTCATCTTTGATGTCAATGATAGTTTGCGATTGTTTACACAAGTAACGAGTTAGCGGAATATGATACAACCCTGCCGATTTTTAAATGTGACCATAAAATATATATGTGCATTATGAAACTACGGTCATCACACATGCGCATTCGGTTGGTTTAGGTGTGAAAGGTCAAAATACATATTTCACAACCGGAAATTCAACAGATGAACGTTTGACTTCACAGATTTCACATGTTTTAGTTATTAGCAACTGTAACAAAAACAAGATTTCGAGTGTCTACAACAAAAATTCCTAAGGACTCCTAAAAAATATTATCACAGAGAAAGTGTCTAGGCATGCCCTTATTTTGATACTATCTTTTCTGGTGGTGTTCGCCGATACCCGGTGGTCGAAATTGACAATGGTTCCATTGAATAATGCAGTCGTTATTATCACAGGCAATCATTGATTAAGTCTCATCACCATTACAAATACAAAGAGATTCACGATAATTCATCAGTTCTTCTCTAATCGATGTTATATCTGCTAATTTTTCATTAAAGTTCGCCAAGATCTCTGGAAACAACAGCATTCAAACTAGACGCCATTTTCAGCATTTTATATGCGAGGTTTGTCTATCGCTTCCGAACATGCTCAGAATATTACCGAATGCTCGAGACTGGCGTAACCATTGTACGAAGGTGTTAAGAGCTAACAGTTCCAATGTTTATGAACAAACATTGACAAACGATCATTGGGCAAAGCTAAAACAATAGCGTTGTTGCTCCTTCCATTAGTACCTTCCATGGACTGAACCACTCACTTTTATCATTCATTTCTTGACTTTAGTATAAATAAAGAAAAAAGAAAAGAATTTGCTGTGCATGTGCCTCAAAATGTTTTTGGGGTTGTGTTCATTGCCTAAAGATATCATTTTTACCTTGCTAGTGTCATCAGGGGGAAATGTCTGGCGTCGTTGTCGTTGCTAATGTTGTTAATGTGTACAAGATAACTTGTGTAATTCTATTCCAAACTATCAAACTTGGTTATGTTATTAATCTTAGCTGGTTCTTGTCTCTGTTAAAAAAATTATATATTCAGATAAATGTGAACTGTCTCATTATGTTCGTAGTGTGATGAATGTATTACATGAAAAGTAAAAAGCCCCCCCCCCTCCCCCTTCCCCCCTAGTAATCATATTGCATCATCTGCTTTGTTAGCAAATCAACCTTAGCCTTGAAGTATGTTTCTAATAATAGTTACAATTATTGGTGCTTCAGTGGTGCCAGAAGTTTACGGTATTCTTGTTTACTGAGAATCTACAACAGATTGGAATGTTGAATACCAACTGTACTCTTGTCAAAATATGTCATAATCTTTGTGGTAACACAATATTTGAACTCTATGCAGTCAAAGTATATTTACTAGTTTATCAGTTCAAATTAGGCACTGTGATTTTGTTGACTGATTTCCCAATGTTGTTTCAATCCTAATACTTGTTTGTATTCAAAATTAATTATGACAATGCATATTCATATTGAAACAAACTAATATAGGAAATATTATATAACAAAGGGCAATGTCACCAGAGTTTAACTATGTTATTTTTTGATTGTTTTGTATAATCATTTTGAAGCTACTAGCATGATATTGTCATAAAAATGTGTTAGTGATAAAATTTGATGGAAGACGCTGATCTCTTTAATTGATCCATGCTCAGTCAAAATACTGGTAAAACATATTGTAGATCTGTACAGCTTGTTCGGGTTTTTTGGAATATCTCTCAATTGTCTTCAATATCTTCATCACACAGGAGCTCCTTCTGAGCTTTCGTTGATGCGTTTTTGTAATACCTGTTTGTATCTTTCTTACAGTTTACTTGTCATGGGGTAGAAATTCCCTAATTGCACTTGTAGGAGGAACTAGTGTTTACATGCAAGATCAAATTCCTTGGGCTAAAGAAGCAGCAGTAGGTGAGGCAGCTTTTCTAAATGGCTTGTCAACATAAGTATCAAATTTTCCTTACCAATACCGCATGTTCTTACTTAAATGGCAGAGGTGTGTCCATAGCCAAAGGCATACACTAAATGCAATTTTTTGTTTACATGTACTAGGGCAAATACAGTGAGTTTAAAATATTAAGATGAAAAAAAGTACTGTAGAATGACTTTATTTTTGTCTGTTTGTTATTGAAAATTAGGTTGATATGATCATGATCCTATTCTGTTGTAACAGATTTGTTTCCAGAGCGATATATTTTCTGACCAATTATGTTCAAACTTTAGAAAGACATCATACATCATCTCTTCATTTGACAATCCAATTCAGAATGGCCGAATGGTGGCCATTTTATTGTTAAATTTTCATCAAAGTTTCACAATTGGATCTTGGCTGTGAATGGATGAATTTCATTCAAACATTGGCCAATATGGTCCCTGCTGCCCGTGTGTGTGTTTTTCAGATTGGATTCAAAATGATAGACGGGCCATATCTTTACTATGCTCTGACTGTACATGTACAAACTTTATAAAATGGGAACTCGTGTTTTGACCTCTGTGCATCTTTGTGTCTGTATCTCTGACATGCCTGGTTCTATTACATTCAAACTTCACAAATACATCACATATCTTGAGCAACATATGCACGTCCATTTGTTTCATGATCCTATTCAAGATGGCCAAATGTCTGCCATTTTTCTGCTGAAAATTCATCAAAATCAGGCATTTCTGCCATTCCATAACAGAATCACTGTTGTGTATGATCTCTGTAATGTATGGATGGATTTCATTCAAACTTGGTGCAGTACATACATTAGAAATTATGGGCCTTGATGCCTGTCATTTTGTTTTTCATATTGGATTCAAAATGGCTGACTGATGGCAATTTTGTTTTAAGAAATGCTGTTTCAGAACTGTATCTCTGACATGCCTTGGCCAATCATGTCCAAACTTCTTATATACCTCATACGTTGCATTGCACATGTGCCCATATATTTGTAAGATGATCCAAATTCAAGATGGCCTATTGGCAGTTATGTTAAATCACCAACATCAAGCAATTTCTGTCAGATCCAGATCTCCAATCATAGATGGATGGATTTTGTTCAAGCTTGGTACATACATTGGACATTAAAAGATCTTGTCATTTTGTTTTCCTGTTTGGATTTTCAGATTTTGGAATGTCATTTTGTTTAAACTATATCACGGTAAACAAAACTATACTTCTCAAACTTGATGATTAACAGAAACTAAGTAATGCAATTACTTTTTTTGTGATTTAATTCAACTGACCAATCAGCCAAATACCATCAATAACTTGACCTGGATATGTATATTGTCGTGCCCTGCCACCTTGAACTAAACAACATGAATTAATAACCCACCATGTATTATTTATTTTCATGTCATGTTTAAATAAAATTTGCTCAATTGTGCTCATGAAACACTTATTTTAGCTAAAAGACCTACCGGTAATATGTACACCAGAATTTTGTGCTTAAAACTTTTTAATTATTTGTTTTCATCCCTTCTCAGGACTGTTTCTTCTTGGTGGAATTTCCTTCTCAATCGGCACTTTTGGATATATCATATCGACAATCGCGCTGCGCAAAACAATGAGACTCACATTACCTTTTGTGATTTGGAACTGTACACATGCTTCCATCAGTCTACTACTTTTCTCTTCCATCATTGCAATCTACCTGGGTTATGTGGAGGAGGAACCCACAACAATTTCCATTGAAGACTCCCATAACATGTAACTATCGCTGGTGGTCACTTTAATGATAAGAAGAATTACTAATACGATACCACTGGAATGGTACTCTTACTGATATACCAAACTGGTAATAATATTCAGAGCACTTTATATAAATTTGATTGTACACCATTGTACTGCTGAATTTGCTTGCAGTGCCTTATCTACGCAGGTTTTCAGAAGATGATACATGTAGTCCTAAGCTGATTAAAAGTAGTCCTTGGCTCTATGCATTCGTAATATAGTATCAGAAAATGTGACGTCATTAAAACCACATAACTATGATTCACCATTATTTCATGTTAATAAGCCGGGCACATAGAGCTCATGGGGGGATATAGTGGTTGCCAGCTTTCCGTCCGTATTGTGTCGTATCTGGACTGATATATAGACATTCAACCATTGCTTTATTGAATGTATTGGGCTCATGCTGTGATCAACTTATTTAATAACCATTAATGTTTATGTGATCTCATTAAATATGCAAAAAACTATCATATCTAGAGCACTAGTTGCCGCTAGACATTCAAACACTATGTTTCAGTTGCTGTTTGTTTCAACCTTCATCCGTACCGCCTGTTTTAATAACTACTACATTCTTTCATGAGCTGTGAACGACCATCTTGATTCTACTGCACTCAAGTTAACAACACAACCTTCACATTTGTAGATGCTTCAGTTATTTGCAGGAAATGATCATTCTTATAACAGTAGCTTGCATCTTCATACAGGTATACCCCATGGTAAGTTGCCTGTGAGCTGAAAGGAATTATATGCTAATTATTATACAAATAAACATTTACATGATATTAGTCTATTTAGTTTTAATTTCTCATTGGTAGCAGATGTTAGTTAATGCAGCTAAATAGTTTCTGAGGTCATATTGTCTCTTCCATACATATTACATGTATGCATTCATTCAGTTACAAATTAATTAAAATAAGCAGTATTGGTATACACATCTTGTTCATATTCTTTAATTCCGAGTTAAAGTATTAATTAATACCAGTGAAGTCATTTTACATCATGTATGCATTTTGGTGATAATCTTGCGTACATAGGATTTTCACCGAGACGATTAGTTTTGTTTATATATGGTGTGTAGAAATGGATAATGTTCCATACAGGAGAAGCGTAGGTTGCTAAATATCCTCCAGTGTGTTTACAAAACCTCTGATACACGGTGTCTAGTTTCAAGTGGAACTTGTTCATATGAAATATTATTTACAACATATTAATATTTGATAGGTTTATCTTTTCTTCTACTAACTTTCTTTAATTTAGTTATGCAATTATTTCTGATTACCCACCCATGGATGTGGCTTTACTTTATTTTGTTTCCCAAATTTTTTATAATTGAATACTTGGCACTTAAAAAAGGCGGTACAAAAATACTTACTAATAACAAATTTCAGCCTCTTGTTTGAAATGAATCAACTTTTTAATTAATAATTATAAGCATTTACCCAACCATGGATAATTTAAAATAATTGCATTGTGTTTAATGTTTATATTTACTCATCAGGAGAGGAAAAATAAATACTTAGTACATAAATGTAATGTAAATAAAACTGAAATACAACAATGGTGTTTCAGTATCAATTCCGATAGCAATCTATTGAACACTTTAACAAGAAGATTCAAGATTTGTAAAATAGATTTGAATATCTTTGCAGAATAATGGGTGCTATGTTGCATAATAAATTTACATTTAAAATACTGAAGCAACAATCTCGTCTGTTCTTATGACTTTTGAACTATGATCCATCATAAAAATTGACCCGGGTCTTCTTCGTTGGTAACGGTAACCATAATTTAGATGCTGCATGCCACTCATAGCACTGGTTACAATGTAACCACCAACTTTCAAGATGTATACGAATGATAAATTTGTTTGAATGAACATGCAATGGATCAACACTTGGATTAGAAAAAAAAAGGATTAATAGTTTATTATCCTTTGTACAATACCAAATACAGTATGATGTTGATTGAATCATAGTAGAAGGGTACTAACGGTAATCAACACCGGAAGAGGAGGTGGGAGTGCTTGTTGGTCTGCATGGTGCAGCATGCCAACCCTTCCCTAAAAATACTATGTACATGTAATAACTGGTACTGTCATATCCATAATGTAGTAAACCTTTTATCTAAATCCTCCACTTTTAGCTCATCACATAGATTATCTCTGCTTACTATTGTCATTTATTTTCATTTCATTTGAATGTTGCTGTTGGTTGCGACAGTTTATGTGCATCTGAAAATTTAGTAGCGTTAATAATTGATGTTACACTTGTGATCTCCATGGTAACTCGTCTGATATTTTCAAAAATATGCATAAATACTTTATAAATGTTATTACCAGGCAACAGTTTGATACCTTGCACTGTTTATGGCTTTTGTGCTCACACTCTGAAAATGATCTGTTAAACAGTGAAAATTGCTAAATTATTTAAAATTACACTTAAGCCATGAAACTGTCTACCCCGGTACTACCAAGTTGATATCATTATTGATAGACTGAAACATCAGTTTTAAAAAGCTCTAATTATTGATTCTTTGTTTTTTTTATGGGGAACGTTTTAGAGTTAAATCTGTAAGCAACCATTAGTTCAGAAATCTCCAGGATTGAGAGGACTTATTTCTCCACAGCCATTGGATTGTGTCCGAAGACACTATGGCCAACACAGGGCCTCCTGACGATCATGATAGGTGCACTGGTTGTGGCAGATCATGCTAAATTATGGATAATGGTAATTGTGAGGATTGGTTGCCAGAAACAACATTGTTAAATGACCAGATTTGTGTTTTGAGCGACTCCACCAGCTTTGGTACAAGCAATGTGACATCAGCTAGAGAGTTTTTTTGAGAAACAACCCGGCTTCTATGGTAGACCAAATCAGACCTAGCTCACGTCTGTCACTGAAATTTCTTTCTGCAGTCCTGGGTGGAGGCTGATTTATCTGTGTTGCGTGGTGAGATTGACCACTATTTTGGTCTATGGAGTCACCAGTTTGACGTTTTTACACAGCAACTTCGTGTTGAAGAGAATTTCCTCTATATTCAGAGATAACAGAGGCAACTTTGGGACAAGAGTAATGTAGGATACCTCTACCTGCCTGTCCTGTATCGTTCTCTGCAGGTCACCATGATAGCATTTCAAGAGTATGTGAAACCCCTCCCAGGCACATGGTAGACCAGTGTTTCATTATTTCCGACAGCAAGCGAAGCATGTGATTAGAATACATCTCTATTACAGTTACAGCTATTTTTCTTACAAAAGTTTCAAACTACTGTATTTGACCACAATTCTATCACATGTGACGGTAGTAGGAATTACGAGCCTTGCGAGGCTATTTATTATTGACTGGTGAACAGATTTGGATGCACGGGCATCACTGAAATGATAAGAATGATGCTACAATGTTGTTGATACACTTTATGGGATGCTGTACCTTAGTGTTAGGCAACGTTACAAAAGAAGTCACAATGATCCAACTCAAATAACATTCATCAGGGATGCTTCAAGGATGAGTTGGGGACACGTATGGATAAAACAGCTCGCTGTCTCTCTTTGACATCCAAGAGAAAGTGTTGCAGGTAAATTGACAGGAAATGACTGCTATACAAATGTCACTGCCAGTCTTTCAGAACATATCATTAAATCGAGAACAATGATGTAGCATACCTCAATAATATGCGACACTATGATTTAGTCGTGTGAATTCTTCATTGGTGTCAATCCAATCAGATCACTCAGTTGACAAAACACCTGATGAGCAAATTTAACTTGATAGTGGACTCAACAACATGCAGTGCCAATTACATTAGACTCGTTTAAAGAATCCCCCATACCAACCAAGGCTAGATGCCTCAGTTTCCGAACCGAATTCTGTAATTCATTCATTGACCAGTTCTTAATTTGTTTAGTGTAGGTCATTTCATTCCTATGCAATACAGTTGGGTTTAATGAGCCAAAGCATCTTGTATGTTTAATCCGAGCATTAAAACAGCTACTTAGAGAAAACTCAGGATACTAGACGTGATGTAAACTTTGTGTTATAAAGAGAATAAATGGAGATGTTAATAAGATGTGTGCATTGGGATGATTTTCTTTTTCAGGGAAGAAGAGCTGCACACCTGCGTGACATCCCTGGATGGCTAACCCTCTAGCCTTTCGAGACAATATCCCGCTAGATCATGTCTTACATGCATGATTCTGGCACCAAGAGCCGATATGAACTCGAGCAGTTCGCTCAGTAACATCATGATGTCCTCTGTAGTTTATAATTCACAGTTACTGGTCAGCACCAAATTTAATCAGTGAATATTTTTTTACGAAGGTGCAGTAATGAGGATGTTATCTTAGAATCATAGGTCGGTTATACCACACATGCAAGTAGTTCTTACTGGAAAAACTCTTATTAGAAGCTCTACCTCTAATGCTTCATTTTCACGTAAGATTACGAGATGAAAAATGTGTTGATTATCGATTGAGCCCCAACGCCCTCTAGCGGTCGGAATAATTTACCTGACGCTTCGGTAATCCAAAATTATAAAACGTAAGTATATATTTTGTTTAAACAATCTTTAGAGCTTTATAAATTTATTATTTTAAATCATTTATATATTTTTGGAATACGTAATTAATTGGCAGAAAAACTAGATGTTTCAATCTCGACTTCTCATTTTGATTTGAATTATATTCATTCACGAGAATCTTATCAAGGTTCAAATGCAGTATGTCCAAGAATTGTTTTAACATGCAGAGTTAATCCAATACGAAAGTCCAGGTTTTACTTAGTAAACTGGCAGGCTTATTTGCATAAATAACTTTTCCAAATATTGCACCAATTCCTGGACTGAATATATTATGCAACGATCTCTGACGGATGGCATTCTAGTGTCAACTCTTGTGTTTCTGTTCTGTTGAGTAATCGTAACGCAATCTGCGTGCGTAGTGTGAATGAAAAACAACACCCATAATAAAATAGATATCATCAGGTTTAAATGAAAGCTACTATTGTCACTGTCGTCATTAATTTTAGTACTGTGCCAACACGTAGATAGATATCTGGTTTTATCTTGAAAATATTTAGCTTAATTTTGAGCACGAACAAAATACTGTAAAACTGTTTATTTTTACTGGCGTTTAATATAACTATTTTATCTTACTGGGTTTCAAATTCACGAACTTGACAGAGAAAAAAAAAAATCTATGTTTTGTATATGTTCACGTGGAGGAATCTACTTATCGGCTAAATAGCGAAATTAAAAATCAGCGATTACAGCATACGAAAACAGTGCTTCCGTCATTGTTATTATAAACATACGTGCTGTTGGGTATAGCGCAAAGGGTTGGAATAGAGCAGTGAGTGATGTCATCTTTCATTTAGCTAGTCTGAGCGTTGCTTATAACTACTCCGTTGAACTGCGTAGATAGATCGCCATGTCTGACAAAATGAGCCAAACGTAAATTCATCCACATTTTTTTTACTATGTGGCATACACCTATCAATCAAACACCCTCATTGTTATATTGTGGAATTTCATTTCTGCAGGTACTAAAGCTGTTCAATAAGCCCATGCGTTTTGAACCCTGAAATTAACAATAAACAACGACTCCCGCTTCCCGGCTCTGAATCGACTCACTCTGACCATTTTGCCGAGGTTTCCCGATACACGTCGTTTACTATATTGGAATAATGAGCAGTTCAGTGTCGATCCGATAAAACTGTATAATATTTGAATTCTGTTATTTAAAAACAAATCTTTGAAAACACCGCCGGTGATTGGCTAAATCAAATATAAG